GATGGGTATATACCAACCATTTGTATCAAAACTACTTCTCTTATTTTTACTGAAACCACTGGAATCGGACATTCCCTATGTGAAATATCGCTATGGTACAACGAAAATAACAGGAATCATATTGGTGTTTTACGTTCAAATAAGCCAAGTACACTGCCCTGTTAATGTTATACAGTAACAAACACAAGCTCTGAGAGCGGTCTGGAAGTGCAATTTCACATGTAGATAGGTACACTTCAATGGGATAAAGAAGGTAACCCATCAATAGATCAGAGACCGTAAAATAGCCTTAAAGTTGTCAGCGTTTGAAATCTTTATTTTTTGAAACTACAAATGTCACCGACGCGTTTCGGCTTAGTATGTCTACATCACTTTAGACTCTGGACCGCATATTCCTTTTAGGTTTACATTGTGTAGGACTTGAGTTGACGGAAAGGAAGTTCTTGGCATGCACTGTAAAGATACACTTATAAGAGAAGTCGATCAAATGCTGTCTCCATTCATGAATCACATTCACAAACATAACCCTGAATCAGATGCAACATCACATCGATCGGGTTCTAACCGTTACAAAAGCAATTATCTTGACTTCTCGCCGATCACTTAGTTCCTGTCGATAAATACCAATACCATAAACATCTTACATTTCCGACCGTTTCTTCCTCATTGAAGACTTGTTTCAGGACGATGGGTCTTGCGTCAAACGAATTCTAACTGCAGACGATTTTTATATCGGTAAGATTGATTTTACGAAATAGATATACCTTTTAAAATATACGGAACGCACCAATACTCTACCCGTTCACGACTAAAACAAAATTTCTTGAATGAATGGCGAAAACAGACCGGAAGAAGACAAAATTTATTTAAAAATCGATCTTTCATCATGCTTTAAAGCCCCAATATACGTAAAAATCACTATAAAAAAACAAACTTTATCTTATTTTCCCCGTAATATATGTAACAAAACAAATACTTTCCTTTAATAAAAGAAAATAAAACTGACTGTTTTCAATTTAAATAAAAATTGAAAAAATCGGAAAATAAACAATGTGGGACCCACAATAATTCATACATTACCGCTCGTAGCGATCACATTGCGCATGCGCATATTCCGCGCGTGTAAACATGGCAGACACAGTACAGACGTTCACCAGTCGCTTCCTTTTTTCCGATCATACATAAGGACTGTTCTGAATTCTTACGTTATAATTGTGCGTCGTATCGTTTCTAAACTAATTATTCCTTCTAATAATTTCCCAAAAATTGAGTGTTTATCACAGGAACACCTCAAGTCTACGACAAGACTTCGCAAACAATGCTTGTAAACAAAAACTTACCGAAGACATATCTGCATGTGCTTCCTCTATAAGTAGAAACCTCAACTCTCGCGAGATCAGGTCACGAACTTTCAGACGTGGTTCGGCAACAATCGTAATTTCGATGGCGGCGTGTTTAAAATGGAGGTGTGTTTACAAAATGCGAGTTTCAACTGCTCATATATCAATACTTTATGCACAAAGTCATGGTAACTATTGTTTGAATCACTTAATTTTATCTACATCTTAGAGAATATCTCAATAATTATGTGTGATTCTACACTAAATTTTTGGTGAATGTTACGTATATTGGGGCTTTAATAGTCAAGATTCGCCTGACCTTTCGTGCTACTGATCGTTCGGGACGAGGCCTTTAAGAAGACTTATCATCTAAACAGACTAGTAATGAAACAGACATTTTATTTATATTAATTGTGCGCCGAAAAGCAAATTGTATGTTCTTTGAATTACGAAACAGAGATGTAGTTTAATTAATTATTACACTCTAATGTATCGAATTCTGTTTGCATTGAAATGTACTTCTCACGGTGCGTGTCTTTTGTACAATTCTGTGGGTAATCTAGACCCCACATTGTCATAAACATGATTAAAATTAATCAAATACATGGGGTTCTGCATGTTTCTAAAGACAGATGATACCAACCTCATATGAATGTCTTCATAGCCATGCAATTCACGGGATCTTAGCAATCTATGTATTTGCCTCGAATTACTTAGGTGACGTCCTCAGTTCGGCTCTCTGGTGTTCATACGACAATGAATACCCAGTTAACAATACGGAAACAACGACAAAAACGAAAACTTTTATACCGGTTTGTGTTGCCGACGAAGATTTGACCAGGGTGTATATTTAACCATTGTAAACGGCAAGAAAAATACCAACAAGTCAAAAGAATCATATTTCAAAATCTGTTTTTTAATTACAGAAACGGGAGAAAAACAGGAAAAAAAACGAATAAAAAGCTGATCGCGTTTACAGCGTTTCCAATGTGGCCCTAAATTCCGCAAATGTTCAACTACGCTGTTTAAATTTTGAATGATTCAGTCTACAAATATTAACCTCAATGTTGAGATTTGAGGTTTTGCATCCGGAGCCTTGCTACAATTCGTAGGGCCTCGCGAAACTACAAATTTCCAAACACTGGTAGTAATTTTCACATGTCAAACTTTTCGCGATTTTCCTTTTAAAACGATCGATTTACATTTTAACGAATTAAATTTTCGTGACCTGGATATAAAAGAATGCGATAATGTACCGCGTAATAGTGAAAATATCGTCCCCGCAAAATAATCAGCTACAGTACATAAGTTCTGACCGATAAAAAGAGAGAAAAGGTCGGTAGAACGTCAAAATAAGTCACTCCGAGCTGCTCCCGTCCTGGTCAGTCACATCTTGTCACGGCCTTTGGACAAATTTTTGAAAAAAATAATAAGTTTGCCAATACGAAACCAAACTTTGGTGGTCTTCACCAGTTATAATTAAATTCATAAATCACTCAAAACATGTGTGGGTACATTTTATAATCATGTAACTGGTCCAGAACACTAATGTTAAGGATTGGGATACAGTTTGTACTATTCGGCGACCGCTGTTAAAGTCACGCGCACTAGTTGGGTCCAGATGTAATTCCTATGAAACGCACCTTTATTTTTGCAAGTTATCGCTGATATATCAACCTGAAGTGTAATAGAAAAATTACCTCTTAAGTTTATTTATTTTATTTTTTTTTAAGAAAAGAAATAGTTATATCAGCCTTGGGGATAACTATTCGTAAAAATGAAGGCGCATGTTATGACAAATATATAGAAATTAGTAGAATGGACCCAAGCGCGTGCGGATAAGGTGGGTTGTTGCGTGTCCCAATCTGCAGTGGTTATCAACACTAGTCATAACTTGTTTTAAAAACCATATAATTATTTTGTAATTGTTATTTAATGTTGTTGTTACTTTGTGAATTGATCGTCCCATGCAAATTTGAATACACGACCATTTCAGTCAATGCGCGTGTTGCATGATTAATTATTGTGCAATCAAACAGCTGGGTATTAATAAACATAGCGTATATGACTACACACTAATCAAGATTTATTGAAGTCTGTGTTATGACGTACTATTATAAAAGTGCGAGTGAAATGATATCACACACATGGAGATCTGATAACTCGGGCTAAAACAAGGAGAAATGTTGATAACAAGGATCTTGCTTTTGTTTACATTTCATATAAAATTGATCATTTTTGTCTCTGTTATTTAGTTTAAGAATCTGTTGTGTCCTCTGGTTGTTGTTCAACTAGATGACCACGAAACCAACTCGAGCAATAGTCATTCATAATGCGAAATGGGATTTTTCGTACCAGTAAAGAGACGAAGCACGGTTTTTTTTCGGACGTGAAAAGGGAAATGCAGATTTACCCTAATCAGACACCATAGATTTCAGAGGTTGAATTTGCACTGAACTTGTGTTTTTTTCCATAAGACGAAGGGTCCTTACGGAAATACCCGACCCATTCAAATGACATTTCGTCATGCCTTGCGGCATCATACAAACGTATCTCTAATTGTGATCAGATCAACCCAGACCGTTTTAACTACACAGTTTATAGATAATGGGCTGGAATTTGTATAATTATTTACCAAAGCAGTAATCTATCTAGTGTCTATATATCTTACTACGGGACAGTCCTGGTATAACTTCATAACTGATTTTAAAAATACCGTCACAGAATCAACTCAACCTATGACCAGGCATCAGTGGTGGACTTCCAGTTCGTTACGGGTCGGGATACTGGATCAGGATTGTGGCTACCTTACTGCTGGACACGGAACCAGCACCGAACGAAGGGTCAGTCTGGCACACGCTGCTGATAGTTAAGTCTCACAATATCTTAAGATTGATTAGTCCTCATGTGAAGTCAGAAATAAGTTGCATCTGTCTATAAAACCGTATCGCAAACATTGTCTGAAATATGGTCGCCCGCCTGAAATACGTAAATATACTGGATTAAGATTCACACGATGAAGGTAATAATGCAAGCTTTTAACTTATTTTCCAATTCCAAATATAATGTGATGTTCTCTAAAAGTAAAATTTGTAAAATGAAAATGTAGCAAGACTGAGCAAATACGAAAGAAATTTTCATTCTAGAATAAAACTCCTTTAAATCAAGATTGATATGAAGAAATTGTCCAATAGTTATATTTTCACATACATTCAAAATATCAGAGCGCAATTTAATCCTCTTCTGGTGTTGGAACAAAAATCCATATGCTTGTCCCTTTCAGCATACGCCTGGAGGCTGAGTAAAGATGACTTGGGACATTTCTTTTTGTAAAATACTGGTAGTGCAACGACAGCCCATAAGTTGTCTCTTGGGCACCGAGTAAAAATGACTCAAAACATTTTTGTAAATAGGTCCATTGATCTCTACAGCTATCTACAGTCCGTTTCTTATGTCAAACGACTAAATAAAGAGTCATCCTTAAATGACCATACCATATCAAGCAGATAAGAATATTGCAGTTTAGTTATGACTAAATGTTCCTTAACGCGATTGCTGTTGGTCGCTATAGTGATGACATCACTGGTGTCGTTGTGGACTATGATAAAATTTGTACATATGATCCCGGCTTCCTGTGGAGACACCAAAGTCATTGTAATGATGGAAAAAGAGAACAAAGTCATGGCAACAGACTTATCAGACAATCCTGTGAAGGGAATATTTTCTCAGATACGTAAATACGTGGTAGAACCTCAAAGATTTACACCCCAAAGCTTAGTAAGGGACATAAACTCAAGTAAGTTAAGTTCTACAGATTACAGGAAAGTGATGACCTATCTGAACGGACAACGGGTTGCCCAGGACAATCCGACTTTAGTGTCTCTTATAAGAAATTATTACATAGAGATGCCATCTTCAGACCCATATCAACTGGATAACCCAGATGTTGTAGAGTTCTCGAAAGGTCAGACACCAGTGGTGGACAGCCGACTTAATTACATGGTAAGTGTAGAATTGTGAATGTACAGCCTTTCATACCAGGACAGTTCTTATAAGTGACTTAGATACATGGACAGTTCTTATAAGTGACTTAGATACATTGACAGTTCTTATAAGTGACTTAGATACAAGGACAGTTCTTATAAGTGACTTAGTGATTTAGATACATGGACAGTTCTTATAAGTGACTTAGATACATGGACAGTTCTTATAAGTGACTTAGATACAAGGACAGTTCTTAGTGACTTAGATACATGGACAGTTCTTATAAGTGACTTAGATACATGGACAGTTCTTATAAGTGACTTAGATACATGGACAGTTCTTATAAGTGACTTAGTGATTTAGATACATGGACAGTTCTTATAAGTGACTTAGATACAAGGACAGTTCTTAAAAGTGACTTAGATACAAGGACAGTTCTTATAAGTGACTTAGATACATGGACAGTTCTTATAAGTGACTTAGATACATGGACAGTTCTTATAAGTGACTTAGATACATAGACAGTTCTTATAAGTGACTTAGATACATGGACAGTTCTTATAAGTGACTTAGATACATGGACAGTTCTTATAAGTGACTTAGATACAAGGACAGTTCTTATAAGTGACTTAGATACATGGACAGTTCTTATAAGTGACTTAGATACAAGGACAGTTCTTATAAGTGACTTAGATACATTAACAGTTCTTATAAGTGACTTAGATACATTGACAGTTCTTATAAGTGACTTAGATACATGGACAGTTCTTATAAGTGACTTAGATACATGGACAGTTCTTATAAGTGACTTAGATACATAGACAGTTCTTATAAGTGACTTAGATACATGGACAGTTCTTATAAGTGACTTAGATACAAGGACAGTTCTTATAAGTGACTTAGATACATTAACAGTTCTTATAAGTGACTTAGATACATTGACAGTTCTTATAAGTGACTTAGATACATGGACAGTTCTTATAAGTGACTTAGATACATAGACAGTTCTTATAAGTGACTTAGATACATGGACAGTTCTTATAAGTGACTTAGATACAAGGACAGTTCTTATAAGTGACTTAGATACAAGGACAGTTCTTACAAGTGACTATGATACAAGGACAGTTCTTATAAGTGACTTAGATACATGGACAGTTCTTAAAAGTGACTATGATACAAGGACAGTTCTTATAGGTGACTTAGATACATGGACAGTTCTTATAAGTGACTTAGATACAAGGACAGTTCTTATAAGTGACTTAGATACAAGGACAGTTCTTAAAAGTGACTTAGATACATGGACAGTTCTTATAAGTGACTTAGATACATGGACAGTTCTTATAAGTGACTTAGATACATGGACAGTTCTTATAAGTGACTTAGATACATGGACAGTTCTTATAAGTGACTTAGATACATGGACAGTTCTTATAAGTGACTTAGATACATGGACAGTTCTTATAAGTGACTTAGATACATGGACAGTTCTTATAAGTGACTTAGATACATGGACAGTTCTTATAAGTGACTTAGATACAAGGACAGTTCTTATAAGTGACTATGACACATGGACAGTTCTTATAAGTGACTTAGTGACTTAGATACAAGGACAGTTCTTATAAGTGACTAAGATACAAGGACAGTTCTTATAAGTGACTTAGATACATGGACAGTTCTTATAAGTGACTTAGATACATTGACAGTTATTAGTAACTAACATTTTTGAGATGTTATAAGTGACTAAATTTAAGTAAATTTTATGCAATTAGCTAAATGACAGTTCTCATACAAGAATATAATTTGCAAAATTTTGCACTAGTAAATTGGGTAAGATTATGGTATTGTTAGGGCAACTACAATTTGTATGTTTCTTTATGCCAGAAATATTTCTGGGCCAAACTGATCACTTGCAGTATTTTTTCTCAATATATCATACATTTATATTGTATCACTCATATATTGGGATGTCTTTTATAGTCTTTATAAATGACACATCATTGAAGGCAAACATTATAATAAAGTGCTAGCATGATTTGGTATATTATCCTATAAATATGGCATTTATAACAGCTATAAATGTCAAAGCAATGCAGTTCAATAACTGTGTTTACCATTTTTTGATATTTTATATGGCCTCGAGTCATTGGAATGTCAGAATAATTCTCTTTTGCCATTTGATTCATTTGAAACTGGAATCAGTATTTCACTGTCTGTGCATTCCATCGGGTGGAACAGCCATTTAAACATCTCTTTGGCTACAATTATGACATCATAGTGGCAACAGAAATAATTGTATTTATTGTCCAACAAATTTCACTTCTGAGAGGCTTATAAACATTTTAATGTAAAAGAAAGGTCTGTGATAACGTAGATGATAATGACCAGAAGGCAAGATTCTACTCTAGTATGATATTTTACAACAGCAATCTAAAATCTTATCTTTGACATAGGAAGGAGGGTTTTATGTTGAATGCGGAGCACTGAATGGTGAGAAAGGTTCCAACAGCCTGTTTTTCGAAAGAGTAAGAAAGTGGAACGGATTACTGATTGAGGCAGATCCTACTAATTATAAAGCATTGAAAAGTAAACACAGAAAAGCTTTTACACTGAATGCCTGTCTCTATCCTAAACCCTACCCAGCTGAGGTAAGATGTAAGGTTTAATGGAAGGCACTTCCCTCGCTTCAAAACAGTGAATGTGTGAAAAATCACTTTATTTAAGTTGATGAATAAGTGAAAGGTGGGGACATCAATCAAAATACCTGGGACAAATAGCAATATGGCCGCATATGTCACTGTACATCTTGAATGTGCTTCACTTCCAGATTTTGATTACTCTTAGAAAACAAAATTTGTTTCAACCATGCAGTTAATGGTACTGTCTATTTGCCATGGTCAGCGTGTTGGTACCTAGAAATCTATGCATACAAAGAGTTCCCTCCCTTTGGGATTGACTGTTTCCTACAGTTTTTGATAAAACATATAAATAAGAAATCTGCAATTCTCTACTTCTACAATATTGGGAAAGTTCGTGATAAAATAAAACATTTACTTTTGTAAATTACTGTCTGTCAAGTAGCAAAAAAGTTTATCTGAACTGAAGCAATACCTTAAATTTCCCAGGTTATGTTCAACAAAGCATACAACATGGGGAGGGCAATTCATGATGACTTTGTCCGGAAATGGCTGTCCAATCGAGGGATAAAACTTGATCCCGTTCAAGTCCAGTGCTTTCCACTGTATTCAATTCTGCTTGCCCTCAACCAAACTACCATTGATTTCTTCAGCCTTGATGTAGAAGGAGATGAAGTTGACATACTCAAAACTATTCCTTTTGATAAAGTTCATATAAAAATGCTGACTGTTGAGTATTCACATGGCTCAGGAGGGAAGTTTGAACTGCAATATTACATGGAATCACAAGGGTATGACACTCTAGTCTCAATGGAGAGAGACGACGGTGGAGTGAAAGATCTGATCTTCAAAAGGAAAGGTTTACTGTAAACTTAATAAAACTGTCCTACTGTTCAAACAAAACTTAATATCTGAAGTTCTGTTTTACTGCATATTGGGAAAATTTTGATTAAATTTTATTTTTGCACCTTTTGCAAGTTGGAAGAAAATTAAACCACAGCCATTTTGGTTTACTGGTATGGCCAGTTGGACCAGGACTGTTTGTTAATGAAACTTTCTATCCTGCTTCAATTAAGTCATTCTAGGTCTGTATTAATATTTGCAGGTCCATCACAAAATTTTATCGAGAAATTGCCTTGATTTAGCACAGCTAAAATCAAATGTCTCCCATTCTCGGGAATGAAGTAGTTGTGAAGTGAGTGTGTGTGTGTGTGTGTGTGTGTGTGTTTGTGTGCAATTGTGTAGTTGTGCAAAATATTGATAAAAGTTAAAAAAACAGTCGTGCATATATACTGAAATTGTTGAAGGTGTTGATGAGGAAGTTGATTGATGAATTACCAATGATTGCATAAATAACTCTGTTATAAAAGGACCAAGACCCCTCATTTTTGTACCTGACACACCCTCTTTCAGTCATGAACATGTATGCCAAATTTAATCATCTCATCTCAATTACGAAGAGAGTTATGCTCCGCACAAGTTTTTTTACAAAAGGCAATAACTCTATTATAAAAGAGTTGTAGCACCTAATTTTTGTACCGGACACACCGTCTTTAAGTCATGAACATGTATACAAAATTTCACCATGCTATCTTAATTATGAAATTATTGGAAGTTCAAGAAGAAGAAGAAGAAACTTGTACAAAAACAATATGTCTCCCTTCTGGAGATGGGGAGACATAATAATACAGTGAGGTACTTCCAGTGGATCACTCTTCAGAGTTGTAGTGACTTGAAGATTCACCAATCTAACCCTAGAGAAAAGAAATATTGACGATCAAATTTTTTTCTGCCCTCATGTGAAATTTCTGGAAAATCTAGAAATAGCTTTAATTCATATATGCCTAGAATTCATGGTTCAACCCAAGAACAAGGGATGTAACTGACATCTGTCACACATAGCTAGTACATGTTAGTGTGATAGCTGGACAACATAAAAAGGCAAAATTACCATCTACTGGTGCTGTAGGCTGAGAATAAACAAAAAATCTAACAATCAGTTAGATATGTCATTTACTTTCCTCACATACTCCATCGGGGGATCCCATGGAAAAATTCAGGGTAGGCAAAGACAGCCGGCATGGGCTGTGACACTCCTCACAGTAATGTAATGAACCTATGTAGCATAACCATGTCACAAATTGATAACACCATGAATTTTAACACTCAGTCTCACCCTAATGTAAGGGAATCTAGCCCCATTAAAAACCTGGATACACCTGTCATAGTTAAGAGAAAACAGATCAAGTCTATTTTCTGATATTTAATTCAAATGGACAATGGTACAATGTACAGGTTAAATGAATGTAATGATGAAAGAAAAAAAAATCATCATACACACATCATACACACATCATCATACGCACATCATCATACGCACATCATACACACATCATCATACACACATCATACACACATCATCATACGCACATCATACACACATCATCATACGCACATCATACACACATCATCATACGCACATCATACACACATCATCATACACACATCATACACACATCATCATACGCACATCATACACACATCATACACACATCATCATACGCACATCATTATAAACAACATAGGAATCAGCCTGTTAACCTGTATGTATATGGTAGTTAACAAAAAAAATCAGTTTTTACAAGTTTTTACCCATCCATCATCCCTCCTATTATCCTCAATTAATGTCTTGTATATATGTAACATTTTGTAAGCCAAGAAAAACATAAATGTTAAACAATTTCATTTCTGTTAAACATGATTACTTAAAATTTTATATATAAATATATTAGTACACAATGTTAATATCTGATATACTTCCTAATTTTACTTCATTGCATTATCAGTGCCCCACGTCACTAATAGCCTTCATTTATCTTCAACATCTCCATCAGTTGGACACATTTTCTTTTTTGATCTGATAACAGAATGGAACACTACTTATCATCTCACTAAGTCAGGTTCTTTCTTTTCTTCTGCTGACTCAATTTTAGATTTAAATATTTTTTTCAATTTCCTTCGTCTCCTGAAAGCTGGTCGTATATCTCGCTCATCCATGTCCTCTTCTTTATTGATGTAGCCTGTTGGTGAAGTGATAACATACAAATAGTAACTTGATTTACATACAACAAATTCATATACAGTATAGGAGAGCTGTTCAATAAAAAATGTCCCTACACAGCTCCTTTACAAACAAGCAATAAAATATCACGTTACCTTGGCACAATGCTGAAGCATTCAAACAGCAATGCACATGCAAAATTTCAACACAATTTGATAAGAATTATACAGATACATCATGAAAAAATATGCACTTCTGACCATTGACATAATGTTCCATAATTGAATGAAGTTTCAGACTAAATATAGAACATCTGCAATCTTTTTGAGAACTGGTCAGCTTAAGGTAAGAATGGTAATATTGATATGGCAGAGGAAACATTACATTCTTCCTCTCAAAAGTTCATCACATTTCCATCAAAAATCTATTTAAGACTCTTAGAAAATGCCAAAATTGGTTCTAGATGGCTACACTGAATAAACTGAAACTTTGAGATATAATATCTAAATTATAATACAGAATTAATTTTAGATATATGAACTGAACTGGTAAAAGGCCGAAGGTAGAAACAAATAACAGCACTGCCTCCATATTTGGCTAACAAAGAACCTATCAGCTTTGATAATACCATCTCTCATCCCTATGTTAGAATGTGTGTACCTCTCTCTTCACACTCCTGGGTGTCAGGGAAGCCTACAGACCAGAAATGCGGAGGTGTCTCAGGTGGAACGTAGTGAGCACGATGCTTTGAGCAAGACTGCACCCTCTGTTTGACCTCCTCTTCACCCAAACCCATCGCAGAGTAGTACTTAAACAGAAATTTTGGAAATTAGAGGCATAACATTTATTTCAATAGGATTCAACATGACCAAATTAATTTTGCTATGAAACTAAGTGAGGATATCACCATTTGTTATTTCCACAGTGTTTATACAATATTTGAATTCCCATACCACTAACATCATACAAGTTTTATAGTTTTGGACTATGGTGGTTTGCCTACAAAAAAACTTTAGATTCTTAGAATTCATAAATATTGTACAAATATTTTGAGTTATTTGATAAATAGAATCTTAAACTTGCTTCTAATTCTGATTAGATGTATGAAACTCGTCACAGTTTCTTCTTTCACAATGCAAGAAATTCTTTTAAAAAGATTAAATTTTTGACAAATTTCATCTATCTAATATGATATTCAACTGATCATGCTTTGATCATGTTTTCAAAATTCTTCAGCAGGTAAAGTGGACAGTTATCCATATCACAATTTTTCTGACCTGTTTACTTCAATGTTATACAGCAGTGTACTCTCCTAATAATCACACCTTACTCAACACTGTTGAACAAGAGTACAGCAGGGCGCAACAACATATGCCCATCCCATGCTACAGAAATATTTAGTATTTGTTTTATCAAAAAGAATATAAAAGAGGATATGATAATAATGAGTCAAAATGTCAAGAGGGAAAACAGAGCCATGTTTTAATGATAAATTATACCAATTTTTATAGAGACAAATGGAAAGCTGAAAGAAATCACTGCACAAGATTAAAATGCTGAAAAGAACAAAGGTCAATAATTTTTTGGAATATTATTGAATCAACAAGTTTTTCATTAGAGGATAATCTCATATGGTTTTTAAGCCTACCAAGTTTCAAAGAATTTGGTTGACACTGAAGGGGGAAATATCTAGATACGATAAAATGGTGTGAATTGCGAGTTAGGAAAACATAATTTCATGTAAATCTCAATCCAACTTCAAAAACTGTCGAACCACACTGCTGTGTAGGAAAGCACAACTTGATTTCACAATGATTTAAGCCTATCAACTACAGCGGTAATAAATGAGTAAAAGACATTATGTAAAATATATCAATCAAACCTCAACACTGTCACATTTCATTCTTGTAATCTTCATGAATATCATGTAATTTACTCTAACCATTTTTTTTAAATTCTGACTGAAATGGTTATCAGAAATTTCTCCATTTTTCATAAAAAAGGAAAACCAGAAAAATTTCCCTTTTTCAACAAAGGGTAGTATTACCCAAAATCTAGATTAACCCCATGATGATTTTAGGACAAAATTAACATTATGAAAACAACAAAGGGCAATAACTCTTCCAAATACAGTCAAATCCAACTGTTGCAAGAAAACACAACTCAATATCATGTGATTAAGGCTATTAAGTTTGAAAGAAATCGGTTAAAAGTTGAGAGAGGAAACCCCAGACAAGATTAACATTACGAAAACTGCAAGGGGCAGTAGAATCAATATGCCATTCATGTCATGGCTGATGGACCGATGCCATACCATGATACATCCGGTGAAATACTGGACTATTCTACACCCTCCAAGGAAAATCCATCAATTTCATTTCAAAGTGCTGTTTGTAACATTTTCTTGTTATGTACCAACTTAAGTATGTTTTCTGTTAAATTTCACTAGTGAAACACCTTGCCTGATTTGTATTTGTCAAATGCTCTGTTCAAATAAAAGAATAACGCATGGAAATTCAAAGTTACCTCGTATTTCATCATATCTCACATAGCCCACCGAGCTAAACCAAATAACCATTGAAATAACCATCACTCTGAAAATGGAGACTTGTAACATTTGTGAAAATTATTCTGTAATAGCACAGGAGCCATTTACCTCGTAGCATTCCTTGCACTCGTAGCCAATCAGATTACGTCTCTCGTTTTGTTTCCTTACCACACCCACATAAGCATACTTATTCCCAGTCTTGTCTGGTAATCTGTAATGTGATAATAGATCCTGATTAATGAACTTTTCGTAAATGATAAA